CGGAAAGGGAGAGAGGAAAGATCCACCCTGGTGGATGATCCCGCCTCTAAGGAGCCAGAGCCCTGGATGGGGGTTAGCAACCAACCCTCCTACCTCCACCGCCGCCATCTCCACCCTCTCTCCGTGGCGTCCCGGCGCAGGCTCCGATACAGCCAATCGTCGGACCGCGACTGATAACGACGCTGCCAAATGTGCGTCCGTCGCATCGCGGACGAGTTCGCCACGGCGGTGGTCCACGCGTCGACAAGCTCGTTTATATCCTTGCTGTAATCCCCGCGGATAAACCTCCGGCCGACGGGAACATTCGACGTTTCACGGGCGTCGTCCGTGCCGCAACCGACCGCCGGCCGTTCGTTCGTTCGTTCGTTCGTTCGTTCGTTCGTTCGTTCGTTTCGATCTCGTTCGGTCTCGTTCGGTCTTCGTTCCGCGTTTCGATCGTCAGACGGGTACGGCGAGCGTGACATTCGAAAAGGGGGGTCGAGGATCTTGGACGAGAAGCGAGACGGAGGAGGCACGTCGGAAGGATCGCGAGCGGGAGGTTGTCAGGCTCGATCGACGAACTGGATCTGACAGTGCTGGATAACGCCACACGCGGGACCCCGCATTGACGGTGAGTTTCGGGGATTTTTCGTGTCGGTTCCAGCGAACGGGAAAGGATCGGTAGGAACCAGCGAGGACGGACGAGGATCCTCGGACGAGCCCCCTCGGGCTTTGGAGAATCGGTTTCTGGCACGGTTGACGGGTGTTTGTATCTGGTTGTCTCGAAAGTTTCTTTCCACTCGATTATTTGATGCGGTCGTGTTTATATAAACGGACAATCTAATTTCATAGATATTCGTGTTGGAACAGTAATGGAGCGAAATTGAATCGTGCATAATTCGGTAATGTAACATGAAACATCAAATATTGTGCATGTATTAGTTATTAATAAAGGGAAAGAAAGTTTTGGGACGATCTGATATGATTGAAAATCATTTTATTTTCGAAACAAGGGGGGTGCTAACGGGGAAATGTAACGTTCGTGACGTACGATGAAGCATGGATAGAGGCAAGGGACAAATGGATAGATAATACTGAAAAATACGGGGGCTGCTAACGGAGAAATGCTTTCTACTGAGTTTGATTTTCATTTCTTTGATTCTTACGACTCGCGACTTTCACCGAGTCATTGGCGCGAATGGGAGAACCAGAATGCTACGAGAACCGAAGTGGTCTATCTACGAAATCATGGGACGGAGTTATTAAGAGAAATTGAAAGCTACGATTTTTATTTAATTATTTCGATTCTGAAAAAAAGTGTTACTTAGGCCATTCTGGTTCTCGAGGCCTCGATTAGGGGTAAGGAATTCGGAGATTCTCAGAGGTCCTGCTCTCGGCGTTTGTGACGATACTTTCGTGCTTTCGCGAGGAAAATTGTACGAGCACCTGATATTACGACCTACTAATAATTAACAGGGATAATTGAAGTGGATACGAGGATTTTGGGTATCCTGCTTTCTTTTTCGTCGTATTGGATTGTCCAGAAAGTTTGTGGCAATTTTTAAGAAAAATTCATAGGCACATTTGAATTTTCATGTATATATTTATCGAATTATATAAGTACCATTTTGTTTCACGACCTTTCCACCTTTTGAGGGATACACCCATGTCGAATGTTTTCAACCATTCCGATACAAACAGACGCGTACCGCCTACCGAAAATCGGCATGGACTTTCCAGACAAACTAATATGAAAATACGGGAGCTTATGGGTCACCACGAGTTCATCTGCGAAGATTCGAAGGGGTTTGGTTATTTTCAGAGACTATGAATATTCACGTACCACTCGTAACGCAACAATTGAAATTACGTTTGAAACGGAGCTTTCCTTGAAATTTCATTTCGCTCGCGACGAAACCGTTTGAATTGCTTTGACAAAAAAATGCTCGCTGTATCTAGATGGGAGCACAAAGGGGTTAATTGGCAATGTAAATTGCGCCAGCGTGAAAGCATTCAAAGGTCATATTCGATGTCACATTTAGTAACCGTGTGAGCATGTACACCTGACAATCATTGCGTGCACGCAACGAATCGTTCATGTACCAAATAAAAATAAGATAGTTAAATAAACAAAATAAAATAAAATTCCACGACGGATTTATCATAGGCTTTTCCAAATTAATTTACTATCTACTGTTACTATTCACTTGTTACTATTACTATTTATAGGCCCGTGTCAATTGATCGGTTTCACTCGAAAGCTAAATATACCTTGGGCTCCTGATTGTAAGTTTACGGACACCATAGATCGAGCTATAAATAAAAAAATTGATGACTGAATTTCCCCATCGGAGATCGTAACAATTCCTGTAAAAAAAAAATGTCAAAAAAGTAAAAAAATTACGCCAAGTACATGAAACAGTCGACGACGAAAAGAAGTATCATCGAATAAATCACAAAAGAAAGTAGCTGATTTTTCTCATCGAAGATCGTGTTACCTACACACCCTCGTTAAATGCTCTGGTATTTCCCTTCCTTTATATATATCTCCCCTCCTCCCCCAAGAAAAATACCCCGAACTATTTCACGAAATGAAAGAACCATAAGGTAATTTTGTTTTCGTCTCTACCATTCGTTGACACGTACCAAAGCGCAATTATTCGTTCCGAGGGTTAAAAAAGTGCGGTATTTACGATCGGGATAGATATCAACAACAGTGATTTAGGGTCGTGGCGGTCGAACCACCGCGTTTATCGTTCGCTGGCCAACTTTCCAATAACGCCGGAATAAAAACGTGCTCGGTTATCATTGTTCCTCCCCCTCCCGCGCGTTCTGCCGGGCCCCCGTGTACAGCGGTACCCCCTTCACCTGTCCGCACGCATGTTTCGCGAATTAACCACAGCGGCGCGTATCTTCAGCGCTGAATTACCGCTCGCGTTTACAATTTTTCCCGCCCGTCTCTTTTATCGCCGCCGCATTTCTCGTTTATTCATCTTTTTTTTTTACGCCGGGTAAATTTTCGTCCTGGCTCGTACCTTGGCTACGATCAACTCCGAGAGTTTGTATACTGGTGGAATATCTCGATCTGATGACTTTTTTCTATGTTTATTTTTTTTTTTTTTTTTGTTGTTGTTGTTGTATTCGATTATCTATTTTGTTTCTAAAGAAAATCTCTTTTTTCTCGAGTTTCACGAGCATGCTCGAGAGGAAACTCGAGCATGCTCTTTATTTAACAGGATTGTTACTTATTTGCTCGATTTTAAAGGGACTCGATTATTTACGTAACGAGTGATCGTTTCCTAGATCTTTCCATCGGAGACACGTGCACGATCGATATAGGTATACGCCTCGTTAATATTCCTGCTCGCGTTCGTCTTCTTGGGATCCTTGCTACCTCGTACCCGCATTTTTCTCGTTAAAATGTTCCTGTTTTTCAGAGGAAGAACCCGTCCGCTTAATGCCGGTAATCCGCACGTCCACTTCCATTTCTCCCTTCCGTTATTGTTTATCGTTTATCAAACACGCTTCTTACTGGACTTCCTTCGAAGATTGGAAATCTTCATTTCGTGACACGAAGTCATTAGGATGCTTTGAGCGGGGGAGGAAGGGCTGCAAATTGAATTTGGAAGGGAGAAGATTGCAAGATTAAAGAATTTAGGATTCGGGAATTCGAGATTGAATAATTTCAGAATTCAGGATCCAAGAATTCAAGATTGGAGGATTCTAGATTGAAAAATTCAAGAATTCAAGATTGAAGGATTCTAGATTGAAAAATTCAAGAATTCAAGATTGAAGAATTCAGAATTGAAAAATTTCAGAATTCAAGATTGAAGAATTCAGAATTGAAAAATTCCAGAATTCAAGATTGAAGAATTGAAGAATTGAAAAATGCCAGAATTCAAGATTGAAGAATTGAAGAATTGAAAAATGCCAGAATTCAAGATTGAAGAATTCAGAATTGAAAAATTCCAGAATTTAAGATTGAAGAATTCAGAATTGAAAAATTCCAGAATTCAAGATTGAAGAATTCAGAATTGAAAAATGGCAGAATTCAAGATTGAAGAATTCAGAATTGAAAAATGGCAGAATTCAAGATTGAAGAATTCAGAATTAAAAAATTCCAGAATTCAAGATTGAAGAATTCAGAATTGAAAAATGCCAGAATTCAAGATTGAAGAATTCAGAATTGAAAAATGCCAGAATTCAAGATTGAAGAATTGAAGAATTCACGATCTAAGAATTAAAAGTTAAAGAATTCAAAAATTCAAGATTGAAAAATTGAAGAATTTAAAATGGAAGAATAGAAGAATCCAGAATTGAAAAATTCCAGAATTCAAGATTGAAGAATTGAGAATTGAAGAATGCCAGAATTCAAGATTGAAGAATCGAAGAATTCACGATCTAAGAATTCATGATTGAAGAATCGAAGAATTCACGATCTAAGAATTCATGATTGAAGAATCGAAGAATTCACGATCTAAGAATTCACGATTGAAGAATTGAAAAATTAAGAATCGAAAAATTGAAGAATTCTGGAATTCGAGATCGAAGAATTTTAAGATTCAAATAAAAGAAGAATCGAACGATCGGAGGGCAATGCTAGAGGAAAAACATGGCACTAAAGTTTCTGAGCGCGACGCACTCTGAACACACGTCTCGAGATTGCTCTACCGAAGAATTTGAAGAACGAGCCGTTCCGCCCGCTTCCATTGCACAACTACACGTATCTCTCAGGGACAACTCGAAGGAAGAAACCGATGGATCCTGAAACGGAGTGCCGTCCGAACGAAAATCTGCCCAAGATACGGCACCGTAGCGTTTTCTCCCTCTTTCGCACGGGACCGCGCGGCCACGTCGTCCGCGACAGTGCATTTAAACAGTGTGTGTAGGTACATGCGAGAGAGTTTAGACGAGGTAGGCAGAGGGGTTTCCGGCGAGCGTTAACAGAGTAACAGAGTGATGTAATGAGGCCCGGAAGCAGGCAATTTGCTGGCCGCGGCGGCCGCAGTTGCGCGAGACAACCTGCCCGGAGTACCTTCTTCTTGATATCGGGTCCAGCCTCCTCCTGATCGGGTTATCCGACGATACAGTGTCGCGTTTCTGGCCCCTACGGTGCCCCAGACCGCGAGACATCCTCCACGGATCTCGTGATTTAGGCGTGACGCGCGCGTTTCGGATCGATTGCCGCACGTCGAAATCGAGAGAATGGCTGTCTCGACTGCTTCGTGTCACGTACGGAGGAAAGGGTAAGCTCCGAGCCCTGAGACGATTCTTTTTCCGGAGTTCCTTGGACGAAGTAGATCGAAGACGGAAGCGGTGATTTGAAAAAGACACGCAGAGGAACCGAGTCGGGATGACTAAGGGCTCCGTTGCGAACATTGACAGATTAGGAGACGAGTTGGATCGACTGTGAACGACTTTTGTGGAAATATATGCAACAGAGGAGTTCAAGGACGATCGAAGAATTTTGTTTCGAGAAAGAAAATAGCAGGCATCCGTTATTGCGATTGTTTGGACCAGCCACAGGGAGCAGAGGGATGACCTAAAGGTTTCTTTCGGTTAACATTTCTTCCTAGACATTGACCTGGACATGGACCAAAGGATGTGCATCGTAACGACCTGATTTATAAGTTTGCAAGACAACTGGATCTGCCGGGTCGAGTCTAGTAACCCTGTACGTAAGAAAACGAATAAATACCATCTTCTAGAGTCTCTGTCAGACTCTAGAAATTCCAAAGTCTCCTCACGAACCCGAGACACAGCTCGATACAAGATGCCAGAGTCTACCAATCCGCCAAACTTGGTCCTAAACATTCCAAGCTGAAACTAAATCAAGCTAAACTCAACTTGGACGATACAAGATCTTCAACCAAAATCTCCGCCATAGTCTTCGTCGGACAATCGTCTCCAGGTGGCCTGTTCCAGGCTCGAATCGTCCATCTCGAGAGTCCACCACCGTTGCCAACGACCCGTTTCCCCGAATATTCGGGAAAATCGATGGGAATCGGTCAGACTCGTGCATAGAGGTTTGGAAATAGAGTGACAATCGTGACGTTGGCCATTAAGTACCCAGGTCTCGTTGACGGGACGCGGAAACCGTATACTTGCGGCCCGCCGGAGGTGCACCGTGATTATGCGACAGTTTTGTGAACGTGATTAAATTGACCTCGATACATCGTGGACATCCGCGCTTATCCAGCCAGCGTGCGTTTATTCCGCGGCTGTTTTGCTCGTTTCGAGCGAATAACGCGAGACGAGAATGACGAGCGCGGGATCGGTGGTGTCCTGACCGAATCCCGGGATCTCGTTGGCCGAGCATCCGGGGACGATCGATGATCGGCGTTCAGCTGACGTTTTGTCGTGGAAATCGTCGCAGCGACAGCGGCAGGTAAAAATTCGTAAAAAGGCTCGGATTTCTCTGCTCGGCTCGAGCGTGGATCGACGAACGGAATCGAAATTCGTTGGGGTTCGGATGTGCACGTGTCGCGCCGCGTGCGGAACTTTCGGTTCGTTTTGAGATTGGAAGTCTTTTTATTTTCGAACGGCCGAAATTCATGTCACGTTTTATGGTGAAAGATGCTGCGAGGCGACGAAATGGGGCTGGGTAGAATAAATATGTCCCGTTGCGTAGTGTGTTTGTTTCGGTTAACGGTTGATACGAGGTTACTGTCTTTGAGCAAGGGTTTCGTTTTGGGGCCTTTGAACGACGATGCTCGAGTGCAGTGACGCTTGAGTTCGAAATGCCTGGTGGCTGAAAGGGCCATCGATTCTAAAATTCTTAACCGTTCTTAACGGTGAAATGTATGAATGCTTCGATGAGTAAATGTTTCGTTGCTCAAATGGCTTGATTCTAAAGTGCTGCGATACTTGGAACGCTTCGCGACCAAGGTGCTCGATGATTCGATGCTAGAAGCTTCGATGCTGGAATAGTTTAATACCAAAGTGCTGTAAACGCTTTGGTCTACGGATGCTTTAATTTTTAAGTGCTGTAATTCTCAAGTGCCTCATTTTAATCTCGAAATGATGGAATACTGAAACGCTTCGATTCTGGAATAGATGCTTGAATGTCGAAATGCTTTAATTGTTCAGTGCTTCAAAGCCGAAATGCTTCAATGTTAAAGCGTTGTAATGTCAAAATGCTTAAGTGCCTCGATGTCCAAATGCTTCAAAGCAAAAGTGCTTCAATGTCAAAGTGCTTTAATTCTCAAGTGCTTTACAGCCGAAATGCTTCGATATCAAAATGCTTCAATTTCCAAGTGTTTTAAACCAAAAATGCTTCAAATGCTTCAAATGCTTCAATGTCAAAGTGCTTCAATGTCCAAATGCTTTAAAGCAAAAATGCTTCGATGTTAAAATGCTTCAAAGCAAAAATGCTTCAATGTTAAAATGCTTTAAAGCAAAAATGCTTCAATGTTAAAATGCTTTAAAGCAAAAATGCTTCAATGTTAAAATTCTTTAAAGCCGAAATGCTTCAATTGCTTCACTGTCAAAGTGCTTCAATGTCCAAATGCTTTAAAGCGAAAATGCTTCAATTTTCAAGCGTTTCAAAGCAAAAACGCTTCAAATGCTTCACTGTCAAAGTGCTTCAACTCCCGAGTGCTTTAAAGCCGAAATGCTTCGGTGTCAAAGCATTGCAATATCAAAATGCTTCGCTCCTTAATGCTTCAACGCTTAAATCCTAAAATCTCAAAATCCTTCGATTCTAAGATAAGTGCTCGAATATCGATCCCAAAACGCTAGCAATGGGATCCGTCGATTTTCTCCGACTGTCTCGTGGAAGTGATCGCGTCGTCATTCATGCAAATTTGATCGCGCTGTCGCTTTCGGAGCTCCGATGTACGCGAGATAACTCCGAGGCACCGTCGATAAAATGTAGATCGACCGGCAGATGCACGACGGACACCTAAATTACGGACAGATCGATTACAAGTTCCCGGTCGTTACGCGCACGTAATCCGTTTCCAGTTAGTCGTTAATTCACCGATACCTCCTCAGGCTCTTCCTTCGCGCGACGGTCGACATTTTTACGTGTCGGGAGCCCTGCCTGCTCTAACAATTTCCAAGAGAAGAGTAATCGCATTAGACGTAATCATCAACAGCGATAAAAAAAAAAAGAAAACCTCACCGACAAATAATTTCATTAACGACAAGCTTCTCGTGTGCGTCGCAGGTTGTTTTCGACGTTTCGCGTAACGATTGTTGGTAGTCCATCGCGCGCAAGAAGTCCCCTTAATGTATTCGTCGTACGATTCGTAAGCGAGGAACTTTCTTGCGCGCACGCCTCGTTTCATTTCATTCGATCGTGTCTTTACCGGATGCATCGAGGGTCCTTTAATAATCCACAACGACGCTGCCGGGAGTTTAAAGCGACTCGCTTTACTCTCTTGAACCCCGTTCATTGTCCACGGATCGGGTTTTCGATTGTCCGAAATGAAAATCTAAGTAAGGACTCTATTAATTGGTCGCGTTGTTGATTTCCAGGGGCTCTTTGGTGATGTACGACAGCGCCAGCTGTTCGTACGCAGGTGCGCTCGAATTAAAGGGAGCCTCAGGAGCTGGAGCCGCGGCCGCTGGTGTAACCGCGGCCGGCGTCAAGCAGGAGAATTGGCCGTACCGCGGCCTCACCTGCGGCAGCACCTTCCAAAGGCTCAAGGAGAGCGTCGACAAGGCCAAACAGGCGCTCGCCGATCGCGGTGGCTACCTGTCCGGTGCTTTCTCGCCCCCGCCACGTGCCAACCCGTCCGCCATTTCGCCCACTGCCTCCATCACCGGTGAGTGCACAGAACACTGATACTCCACGAGGAAATGTTTTTGATAAAAACATTCCTGCTGGTTACTCGATATTTCTTTGATCGACGTTCCAACGTTGTGGGAATATTGTCAATATTCCAGCAATATATATTTTTATTACTCGAGAACCTCAGACAAGGTTCGTATATAGTTCCAGCGATATTGCAACGTCGAGAAAATGATTTTATTAAAAACCTTCCTCGTGG